ACGGAGGGGAAGTTTTCATTTATAATTTGTGTCATGATTTTCTAAGTAATTAAATTAAAATATATTTAATTAACACCAAATTAACAATATAAATAAGTAGTCCCCTAAATAGTTGCTTTGCTTTATTGAAATATTAATCATTCGGATCAATTTATTTAAAGAATACTAATGCAAGGTTCTTTTAATCAAGGCTTTTCTGGTGAGACATAGAAATTGAATAAATGATTAAGTTTTACTGTTTTCTCTACGTGAAAAGTATTTTCTTCTAAGTTCCCTATTTCCGGCTTTTCTTGAAACGTTCTTTTCATGCTCTTTATTATTCTTTAATATGTGATAAATAAATATTTCAAACTGAAACGCATACTCTCGCACTAATTATTGTCCTTGTAGACTTTATAAAAACATTAGTAAGTCCGAGAGTTTCCGATCTGGTATGCTTTTAAAAGTAATAAATAAAATTATAATAGCTTATTTTTCAGTATGATTGCTTTGTGCGATGCATTTTTCACAATGTTTAATGAGCAATGTAGTGTCCCTGAAAAAGTAATTTGAAAAGTAATCTGAAAATTTCCCCATAACTGCTATTTTTATGCCGTAATCATCATTAAATCTCTTTCTATGAAAGTTAGATTTCAATTTTGGACAACAGATAATAATCACTAGAAGCTAAATCTGGGTTGTAAGAGAGTAGTCAAGCTCCTTCAATCCACGTTGCTGTTTTTGAATTCCATCAATACATTGCTGTTCTTGAATTTCTAAAAAGAAGTTGGGATGCCCACTTGCAAAGCCTTTATTCATGCAGAATGCACAAGAATTGTTTTATTTAGATCCAATCTTGCCGCTATCTCCTTGACTTTTAATCTCCTGTCACTCCATATTTTTCTCCTAAACATGCACGAACAATATTTTACGATGTCAATACCATCAATATTCGGCCTCCATGAGTGTCATCTTTTACGGATGCAGAAATTTTTAACCCATTCTTTCTCTGTAGGATAGAAAGAAGATTCAGCATACATATGATGTAAGCGCTGTTTAATTTCTTTGTTTTTTTTTTCCGTTTAACTAAACATTTAATCAGAGTTTTAAACATTTCAGAGCAAATTACTAAATTCCTTCGTTTAGTATACAGTCAAATAAGAATTCACATGATTTCTATAACGATACTTCAAACTTTATTCATTTAGAAATTCCACATGTATTCAAAAAGAATTTGTTGTCAAATATTTTTTTTTAACTATGAGGCCAGAAACTTGTAGATTTATCTGTGTATGTTAAATAATATTATCTTTTTAATACGTATGAAAAAACTGTTATTACGCGGGTGAAATAAAATTTACCATAGTTATGGTTGTAATATACGATACTTTTTATTGATATGAAATAGTTGAGATAAATGCCTTCCATTAAAATAAATGCATTAGTTCAGAGCACTTTGTTTTTACTTCTAATTATATCTTGACCAGCCTCAGCATTCATTTGAAGATTAGATTTTGTAGTTTAAAAGTAAAGGTTTTAGGGATTTCTTTTAAGAATATTATAGTATAATCTCAGTAAGATGTAGGCTGTGTACGCTGCGTAATTAATATACAGCAATATTATACATAGATGGATATTTCGTTTCAAAGATTGCATATGCTTTAACTAGAAAATCATCTTCTCTCTCTCTTTCATTCTTTCTCGTTCTCTCCCCCTTTAAGGGTGTAAATTTGATCTTCGAATTGCATTTGGTGTAAAACATAACTTTTGTTAGTACTCTTAAAAAATGCTGATTACTGGCAGTTTTGAGTGTACTGTATTATTATTATTTGCGTGTTCCTCCTTAAGGCACTACACGGAAGGGAGGGATGCCTTCGTGGAAAGACTTTCTAAGGGAAGCTGGCTCGTATTAACACGTTACACATGGAGAAAAGCGCGGAAATTCCCATGCAGCCAGCCCGTTCGCGGGATTCGAACCTCGGACCGAACTATAGTGTTCATGCACGTTACTGCTCGGCCGCTGGTGGGCCAAGTGTAATGTATCGTTGTAGTCTTTTTGAGAAAGCTAATCGTAGTATATGCAAATTTTACTGTATGATCAAGGCCAAAATTGTGTTAAGTTCTTACATTTCTATACAGCCAGTATGTCGCACCAGGGATCAAGTCCGTGTTGAAACTATTGGATGTTAAAACATGTTGAAACTGGATCACCAATAAACCCTAAAACGTAGGATTTTTTGCTGCAGATTTCATTATTTGAGTCTTCCATTTTATTAAGTTAAATTTATTTATTATTGCTTAAGTCTCAAGGGCTATCTTTTTAAGTCAGGAACGCATTCATGAGGTGGCCGAGCGGATAAAAACGATGAAACTGGTAGTTTGACCCAGGTTCAAATCCCAAAGAATGGAATGGCTGCATGAATGCTTTCGTAATTTTTCTTGCGTATAATATCAACGCGATTCAGTTTACTTAAAATTTTCTCCATTTCATCCCTTTCCTCAGCTGTTTTGGGTTTTGCTGTAATCAAATCATCATATCCAGCCTTCGTGAAAGACTTTTTAAATGAAAATGGCTCGTATTTGTATCACTTTGAGGAGAACCATGAAATCCCATGCAGCCAGTCCATTCAGGAACCAAAAACAAAAGTTAGAAGGAAGTACCGGCAGTAAAGAAAGTTCTCCAAGAAGATGTTCCTCTCCATAGGCAGATAGCCTCAAGTTGCTTTGCTTTCAACTATTATTATTATTATTTGATAACCTAATCGTCAGTAAACCTTATATTAAACTGTTATTTCAAGGGATGGGTACAACAGTAGCTGAATCCTGCTCATTGTTTCACCGCATAACACCAAATTCAGTGTATTAAAGTATTTTTTAATATAATAGTTATCTCCATACATTACATAATACTCGTAGCGTAAGATGTATTTTATACTTTCTGCTTGTTAAAGAAAAGAAATGCGATTTAATAATACTTAAATTAAAAATATACCTTTCCAATCCCCAAAGACTTCTTTCGCAACTAAATTTTAGTAGAATTAAAATCTTGAATATGACGTAAAAATTTCGAGTCATCGCTTTTATCTGAATTTTCAGCAAAGTCAGAAAGCTGAATGCCTGTATAGCTCTGTTGTGTCATTCAATGTAACCCTCGCTAATGATTCAATTCTTTTGAAAAGTAACTTTTAAGTGTATTTAAAATATTTATGATGCTATTTTTGCTGTCATATAAGCTAGGAATAAAATTAATCATTTAACTGTTTGGAAAAATATGACAAAAAATAATTTAACTTAAAGTATTAAACTTATGTTTCTTTTCCATTTTTTCTTAAAATTGCGCAGAGAAACCTTTGTTCAGTTTTACACTTTTTATAAATTTATGCGTAATTTATATCAAGGAAGAAAAAACAAAACTTAGTGCAGGAAAATCCAACATATTTTTTTTTTACTGTCGGTAAATTTTAGAACTATCAGTAACACAAATAACGATAAAATCATAATTAGCAGAACGTATTTCTGTAATAATGACTGTTACTTAAAGAAAATATTGAATAATATTCCTTTACTGTGGTTGATCTTAGTTATCAGTAACATAATTAAATAACGATAAAATCATGATCAGCAGTGCGTATTTCCATGAGAATGACCGTTACTTACTGAGAGAAAATCTGTATATATAAAGAAGAAAGTTTGTATGTTTGTCCTCTAATAACTCAGTCACAACTATAGCTATCACCAAACTTGTTATTGCTCTTTTCTGGGTCCTGAAAAGGGTCAACGCCCACTTTTTTCTAAAAAAAGGAAGCTAAAATCAGAGATATTAATTAATAATTCGGAAAAGCGATAATTTTCGCCCTCATTTTTCCGAGTGGCAATGGTCTCGCAAGCTGAAGATAAAAATCTGAAGATAAAATTTCGAAAGCTGTTGCCATTGCCCGCTTTTAAATCCTAGAGTAATAAAGAATTTCTGAGTTTTACGATAGAAAAAATAAGAAATGCCAAACATTAAATACACTATTCCCGATTATAAAAATTTGTCGGAAGCCATTTCGACTATTCCCATCTTCGCACGACTTTAATCAGCCGAGATATTAATTAAAAACTCTGAAAAGATTGATATTCGCACTTATTTTTCCAAGTGGCAACAGTCTCGCGCGGTGGATATAAAACGCTTTATTTCGAAAAGTGTTGCTACTGCTTGCTTTCAAATGGTAGAGTTTGTTAATCAAAAATTTGTAAGTGTTACAAAATCTATACATATAAAAAAGAATGTCTGTTTAGTATGTTTGTTTGTTCCCGTTATTGATTTCTGATAAATTATGATAAATTTTTTTTGCCACATTTAATCGACTAAAATTGAATATACGTGAAATATTGGATAAAACTTGAGCTTTTACGGCCATTTGATTAGAAAGACAAAAATCATTAAAAATTGCGTGCCATTGTTGCTGATATAATGAGACAGAATGAGCTTATTTTTCTATCGAAATTCCTTTACTGTGACTGATCTTAGAATTATCAGTAACATAATTAAATAACGACAAAATCATAATCAGCAGTGCATATTTCCATGAGAATAACTGTTCATTACTGAGAGAAATTATTGAAGAAAATTCCTTTACTGTGACTAATCTTAGAATTATCAGTGACATAATTAAAAAATGAGAAAATCACAATTAGGAATGCTTAAATGCTTCAAAATTTATATCGTACTTCTAATTTTTTACTCGTTGCAATTAAATTTGCCTAGGCGAAGCAATGTTTTCGAACAAAGTATTATTTGATTATTTATTTAACTATTTACTTAATTTGAAAGCTGCTACGAACAATTATTATCATAAAATAAATGCGACATTTTAACTGATATGAACTGAGATGTAAATCGGGCTAAATTCCCTCTCGTGGTAGTGTCTGTTTGAAAGTGGTAAAGGCGCTAGAAGTCACTGTTGTTGGCTCTCTCTCTCTCTCTCTCTCTCTCTGATGTCATTACCGCAAATAATCACGTGGTATGGCGCCCGAAATACCTCTCAATAGTCGCTGCACTAAGATTTGGGAGGATGGAGAACATCAGGGATGGAGTGCCCAGCTAAGGAAAGGCTCGTAATTCTTGCAAGAGCATTGTGCAATAACGGAAAGAAGAAATCTTTCATCGGAACATTGGGATGTGCCTTTCTGTTGTCATTCTTTCGGTAAACTCTTTCTGATTTCTTTACAATTATGTTTGCATTTCTGATTCCTACATTTTTGCAAATTAGAACTTCTGCGACTATTAATTATACTTTATTTTTTCTTGAACTGTCTATTCCCGTGCATCTCTAATAGATTTAATATTTATGAATGCCTTTTTTTTCGAATATTTAAATAAATTACACGTACAAGAATTGAAGGATAGATCACCTGCTTTCTTCTATGATTCATACAAGTATATGAAAGTACAGAAGTTTCTTAGCGTTTTTTGAATTTACAAAATAAACAGTAATAACTTGCATCAATGAAGTGAATTTCATTCGAAAACTACAGCAACAACATAAAAAATAAAAGAAGTGTAAAAATGTGTTAGTAGGATTTATAGAACATATTCAGAGTAGCGGTACCTGGAAGACAAAATTGTTAGATATTGATTAAATTAAAAAGCAAATATGGCTTTGACTCGGTCACAGTTTTACGTTGATACACCTCCTCCCCGTGACCCAACTCAAAGATATAGCATGTTTGCAGATCATTCAGAACTGGCTCGAGCCAGTGCTGCGCAAGATCTGTCGTCCACCTCTTCCTCTGCTACTCTTCCGAGTGCTGCTGGGTCAGTGGACCGGCTGACAGGTTTAGGCGAAAAGAAATCATCCCGCTTTTTCACCTTGAAACCGAAGACCTCATTTTCTCTAAGGCCATTTTTCTCTTCTACTTCCATATCCAATCTATCGCCATCGAAACAGCGCCGTCGTAAGGCTGGAGAAGTCTCGACCCCGAGGCGAGATTCGTACGTGCAGACAGAAGACGACAGACGAGCTTACGACGAGGTCGGGGTTCAGACCCTGAACGCCTCCACGGTCGATGTACCGGTCCAGACCTGTTCTATTGAGTGGGAAGCAGGCGACAGTTACGGCTACAGAAGATTGCCCGGGCCCGCCGCTTATAGACCTGGATATTCGCGTTATCCTTCTGGTGGTTATTCTACGAATTTGTTTACACCCGCAGTGTCAAAACCGCCCGGAACTGCGTTGGAGAAAACTTCCGCTGCTGAAAATTCTTTTGTTTCTCCATTAGTTACTTCCAGGCTTCTAAAATATGCCGCACCCGATGATTCACCCAGCTCTTCAGAAAAGACATCTTTGTCTTCTCAATCGACAGCTACGTCAGCATCTGCTTTAGGAGGCGTTATTAAAAACGTGGAATCAGCCGATCCCCAGAAGGCTTCTGCTGCTCTTTCTGAGCGCTCTACTGCACCTAGTGTTCCTGTGAAATATTTTTCCGCAAAAGAACTTGTAAGTGATCCAGCTTCTACTACAGCATTAACTTCTGAGGATACCAAAGAGTGTACTGATAAAAAATCTTCCACTGATATCTTAGATGTGAGTTGTGTCACAGCTGATGAAACGAATTCTAATTTAATTCGGGCTAATGCTATTGGGAGTGAAGTGACTTTGAATCCTGACAGCCGTGCGAAATCTGAAAAGCAAGTTAAAATTTCGGATATAGATAAAATAAAAGACTTAAGTAACGAAAGTAAAATTTCTGCGCCACGACCAGCTGGATCTCCTGCCTCTGTTTTAAAAGTTGATAGGACTTCATCTCCATCAAAGCAGCATTCAAAAGTTAAATCTGTGCATTTTGATTTATTAGACTCTGATGAACGACTGTCACCTCCTGAGAAACGTAAAGATTCCAGTAAACCTCGCAATGTTGACAAAGATTTTGAGGCTTTATTACGCGATTTGGATATTCTAACGGATGAACCTGAAGAAAGTAAGTTACCAATTTCTCAAAATTGCTTTCCTAACATTGGTGCTAAGCATGATTTAATCCCGCCACACATTAAATCGGAATTTGAAATTCTCAGGGAAGATTTTCTGGAACCGATACCAGAAAATGCAGGTGAATGTTCTGAAATTGAACCACAAGATCCAGAAAACACATCTAAATTTTCAACTGAAGAGGGAAATACTAACTACTTTTCTCAAAATTTATCCCTAAGTTCTATCCCTCAAATCCCAAAAGAAGGAAACGAACTCCAAACTCCCACGCTTACTGTTGCTGAGAATGGCAAGGAAAATAAATCTAATCCCATCGAAAGTAATTCCTTGAATACTACGTCACTTACCGAGTTTCCACCCACTAAGTCAGTTTCTGAAATAGATTCTAATTCTCAGCATGCAAATGTTTATGAAAACGTGGCAGATACACTCTGTGAGAAACCAGTTAAAATTGTGACACTGCCAACTTTGCCTGCTTTCTTTGAATCCCCAACTAAGAGCGATAGCCCTACGGTAAACGAGCTCACGATTAGTGCTGAAACACATAATTTGCCATCCGAAAATATTGAATCACCTGCAGTAGTGTCTGAAAGCGATATGGATAAACTTGTTTTATCTCGATCCAGTTCGCGTAGTAGCACAATGAGTAATAACGCCGCACTTGACGCATTTTACGGACCAGGCAATAAATTCGATTCGTGTGAAAATCTCGATCAGTTAGAGGAGGAGATTATTCGAAGTTTATACAGCCCTGCTTTTGATGAAGTATCCGAAAGTAAACCTGAGAACTTATTGTGCCATTCACAGGATGTAGGGCTTTGCAAAACACCAGAAGCATTCGCGTCTCAAATGAGAAGCTCTATTCTTGATCGATTACTTACCGGGGAAAGTGTTGAGGAGATTGTCCCTAATCAAATTAAGAAATTCGCCGTTAAAGCAAACTAATACTGCCCCTAAAACGAATAAAATCTGTAGGAAGCAACCTCAAAAATATACCGCCACTTTGACCAGAATGGAGCAAGATATAGCTGGAAATCTTAATGAAAGTAACTCATTTAGCTCTGAAGATAAAAAAGGTAATTTTGATTCATCATTATGTGATAATATTTCTTCAAATAATCCTGTTGTTACGAACGTGAAAAATATCGAAGAAACAGGTGGGTTTTCTTTTTTGCAGTATCCAGTTTTAAGCAAAGTAGAATCACCTAAAAAGGCTTCTGTATTTCTTTTTCCAGAGGTTAAACCGCTGAGCGCTGGCGTTCCTGAGCAATCGACGATAGATGTATCTACGACAGAACAGGCAGAAAAAGTTCCTACTGTTTTGGAAGTACGTAGATCATCTTGGTCTACTACGCAACCTAAAATTTTAAATGATGCCTTGAAAATTTCTCCCAGTAATAGCGTAATCATTTCCCAGACTAAACCTTCTGATGACTCAGAATCCAGACAGTGTGATTTTACAAATTGTTTACGACCTTCACAGATTCAGAATAGCCCATTTCTTGCTAAGATTAGATCTAGATCTGCCAGTCCTGGATTAAGCCCCGACTTATCATCACCTCAGTTTAAGAATAATATTTCAGCTGTTGCATCTGATATAAAGAATGACTCTTCAAAAGCTGTGGGTCAGTGCGATTACGCTAGTTGTCTGAAGCCGTCACAAGCGCAAAACAGCGTATTTTCTGCAGAGCTGTCTGAAATAACTGCTAATAAATCTTCAAATATTATTAATGCTTCGCTGCGTACTAACACTTCACTAACAGCGCGTCCTGATAGCCCTGTTGTGAAAAGAGCCAATGCGCTTATTTCTGGAAATCAAGAAATTGCTGCCTACAATGTAGACAAAAATTCTGTATCAGCAGAAGAAGTAGTTCCTCAAGTTAAACATAAGTCTGAAGTTTTTATAATGCTGCAACCACCTCATGCAAATGATGCGACAGTACCAGGAGGTGACAGCCATCTACAGAACACAAGTCCATCTCAGCAGAGTTCAGCCTCTTTAGAATCACAATCAGATCCACATTCAGAGTCGTTGGATACCCTTGAAAAATCAGAGCACCCGATGCCACAGTCAGCTGATTTTCAGCAATCTAAAATACTGCCTGAAATACCACAAACAACGTTAGAAAGCTTGGCATCACCGCCACCGCCTCCACCACCACCTCCGCTTCCTGGCATCAAATCCTGTCTGGCATTCGACAAGAACATCAATAATACGAGTTCCATGGAATCGATGATAAGAGAACAGCATTCCAATCTTATAAAACCTCAAATTACGAATGATATAAAGCCTTCAACCCCAAAGACAGCAATGATGCTTGAACTTGAGAAACGGTTCGAGTCAAAATCCAAAATGAATTCCGGAAATCAAGTCCCTTTGAGTGTGGAAGGAGATACAACGAATTATGGAGATACATCGATCAGTTCTTTTCCAGATTCTGGTAAGCTATGTATGTCATATTTTTTACTTGAAAGTTGTTACCTCATTTTGCATGAAAAATCAAATTTCTTTTCTAGTAATAATTATACAGAAAACTCAAAACGTAATGTTTCTAGAATGCTGAAAATGATTAAAGAAGTGATATTCGAGTTTATGTAGCTGTTAATTTCATGATAAATATATCATTTTAATAGCAAATTAGATTAAAATATTTGACAAATCTCTCCTTTTTCTCTCTCCAAGCCTTTAACGCCGTATATTTATGATAAGCATTTGGCTACGAAAAATGGTGTAAATTTAGTTCTTTATGTGTTTCAAGTATAATTGCTCTTATGAACAGTTATTTGTGATTATTTGTTTTATAGTTAATTTTTATCTAATAATTTATTTAAATTTCGAAAACTTATTAATTTGAATTATTTTTTTGAAATTAAAAAAATTAAAAACTTAAAATGTTTGATTTAAATTGAAAATAAAAAATATAAGCTCTTAATTCATATTCAAATCAGAAAATTCTGATTATTTTACTAAAATGTTATGTAATAAAAAAGTTAGGAGAAACGAAAATATTATAATTCGAGATTATTAACAGATTCGCTTGATAGTCATTGAATAGCTTTTGACAAGACGATTGTTCACTGTATGTGAAATGTTTGGTTTTGTTGTGATTCCGCTGCATATGAATTCCGCTGCATGACATTCGGACTGGATGAACACCTGCTCGTGTTATACTCTATTTTTTGTATCATTATTTACTATTTGATTTGTGGATGAAATCGTTAACTCTTGCAGTTTTGGCCTAGGATCTGTGAAGTTTTCCTGTGTTTGTAATATAGGCAGAAAATGTAAACAAAAAACGTCTTTACGAAAGATTGACCTTCAAATAGATAATCTTTGATGGTATAACGTAATAAAATGTATGTTTTTGGAATCTGCAAGTTTTTGCCTGAGTGGGTTCAAATCAGAAATGGTGTAAATATAATGAACCTTTTAGTTAAACAATAAATAGATAAGGACTCTTTTTTTTTTTTTTTTTTTTTTTTTTTTTTTAGTCCAAAGGGATTTGAATCCCGAAGGACTATTAGTTTCGTTTTGGCGTTTTGCGTCGGACTCATAAATGTCGGTTCACTTTTCAAACTGTTGCCACAAAATGTTAGAGTCCTGCATTATATTTGAAGAAATTAAATAATGAAAAATCTGCATAAATGTATGTATATTTCTCGTATTGTCATAAAACAACGGTACATAGAGTCATCGAATTTTGAATAACGTAATCCTCCAACGAATATGAGCATGTGGAAGACCAAATTTGAAATTTGAAATTTGTTTTATGATCGATTTCCTATTTTTTAAAACTTTGACGAATTTTTGATTAACAAACTCAAGGATTTCAAAGCGAGCAATGGCACAACGTTGTGCAGAAAAAACATTTTTATCTCCAGCGCGTGAGTCTCTGTATCGGAAATTCTAAAGATATGCTCGTTTTAAAACTATTTTGCGATATTGCTGTTGCACTGGATCTTATGGTTTAAGTGCGAGGAACATGATATTTAATAAAGAAAGGTAACACACAAAATGTTAAAAAACGCCCCTTTGGACGTAATTTAAAATCTGAAACATTTCAGATTTTTTTTTTTTTTTTTTTTTTTTTTTTTTTTTTAATTTGCCAAGAGAATTTTAACAGTTTCTGTTCAACCAGAGGCAATCATTTCCTTTTTGAAAATCAGTAATATAACTATTTAAAAAAGAATATGTTCTAAAAATAACATAATTATTTCAATTGTATTTATTATTACCTTATTTATAAAATCTCTTATAACTTAGTGTTGATATTTGCTGTAGCTAAGATGAAAGAATTTTAAATTAATCAAACCTGGATGCTATTATATTTGCAACTAATGGTATATTTTCTGTTCCTTGCGTCAATTGCTTTAGTCAGTTAAGGAATTGTAATTCATATTATGTTATTTTCAGTTTTAACGATATGCTCTCATTAGAAATTTTATCTGTAATATCTATGACGTGCATATTATGCTAGACGTATTTTATGTGAATATTTTGTTACTTTTGCCTTTCTTGATTTCATGCCTGTGCAGTTTTAGCTTATATAGAATATCGCCCAGTTTGAAACCAATAGGTCCAAAACTGAAAAATTATGTTTTCTTCTTTTATAATATTTTACAGCATTTTCTTATGCTATAAAGCGTAGAATTTTTACGTCATTAATTTTGAATAGAAATTTTAATAGGGTTTCCTGTACTTTACGAACGATGTTAATGTGAATAATTTCATTCAATGCGATATATTAATACTAAAAGCTGTTTTTGAACTGTTAATATTGCATGGCAATTTCCTTTTAAGCTAAAAATTTGCACAATTTTAACCAAGTTATACAATTCAAGAATTATTTCGAAAGTTTCCAAATCCTACCCATTTTGCCTGATTAAATACCTCTGCTAGAAGGTAATCCAGTCAGTTTGAGCTTCTACTGTCGGGTGCTCATTAATCTTACGCTTTAGTAAAAGTCTTTGCAAAAGACGTGCCTCCTTGACAATAAGACATGTTGTCCTTGTTTCTTTTCCTTTACCCCAAGTATATCTCCTGTCGAGGATCAAGAGAAACTTTATCAATTTCTTTGGGTTTCTGACATTTATTTTTATGAGATTAATCAACTTGAAAGTTACAGAAGGTGTTTACATAATTTCCGAATCATTTATTATTATTATTTACGTGTTCCGCCCTAAGGCACTGCATGAAGGGAGGAATTCCTTCATCAGAGAAACTGGTTCGTATTAACACATTACACATGGGGAAAACTACGAAAACGCCCATGCAGCCACCCGTTCGCGGGATTTAAACCTCAGACCGAACTACCAGTGTTCAGTGACTTTACCGCTCGGTCAGTGGTGGGCCTTCAGAATCATTTCGCGACCGTTTAATTAATGCTTAAAATGTAAAAAACATTTTTTTAATGTTTTATCTGATAGCCTTTTTCATGGCCTGTAAGTCTACATCGTGATCTCCAAGACGGAAGGGCTTGCCTTGAAATTTCCAGGAATATTGATTTCCTTTCCTGTTTCTGTTCTTTCCAGAGTCAACCAGTCATGTTGGGTTTGCGCTTAGAAAGAACTCTTTTTAAGAAACCAAAGGCACAATAGTCCATATGTGAAAAACGTCACGAAACTTCGCAGGAATACACTGAAAGGGTATATATGCAATACCTGTATCAGTCTTCATTTATTTCAAGTAACGCAATGGTACTTTTCAAAGCAAGAAGTCATACTTTGCTAAAGAAAAGTATGGCTTCTTGCTTTATCTTGATGAAGTTTTACTCTTTGAAAGTCATTGGAATAACAGAAATGGATTTTATCGAACGTAAAACTTTTTCTTGATATTTCGTTTATTTTCTCTTCTTATTTTTAATTTCTCATTGTAAGAGAAATCATGAGAACTGAAACTTTACTGAAACTTTTTCCCTTGGTTTTTGATAATAAATAGACACCACCCTTTTTTCCCAGTCATTTAGGTAAACCCATGCTTCAGCATAGGTCACAATTTATTTCGATATACCTTCTGCTAAACAGTTTTCATGTATAGTTCTAGAAATTGTTCTGCGTTCAACCACATGCATCGGCAAAATGTGCTACACGTTAACGTTTTTTAGCTTTTTTAAATCTTAGTTTATGATTTTATTTATTGTTGCTACAGTTGTATTTAAAAACTCTGCTGTTGATTTGTGCGTTGGTGGAATTTCTATCGTTATCAATGATTTAATTTTAGAAATATTAAAAACAGCACGAACCTTTTTCAGGTATTCGATTGGAGTCTTCTTTCCATGTAGAACTTTTTCCCTTTCCTATTAATAATGTTGCTTATTTTGCGCTTAGAAATTTTAATACTATGCATTTCTCAACGTTTTTGAATTATGAAATAGAAGCATTTCTCTTCGGAAAATGCACAAATGTATCCTTCAATCTACAGCTTGTTTACATGCAAGATTTTAAAAGAAGAATCAATTTAAAAGTAGCAGACGACATTTCTCATTTCAAATAAGCTGTTGCTAGAACTTTTTATTCAAAAACATTTTCTTAAGAAATTCTTTAAAAAAATATTTCTAAAAATATGAAACATCCTCTGTATTTTCACATTCCCCATATGTGTTGTCATGATCTAAATGACTAGCATATTCAGTTAAATGAAGAAGGGGAGAACTAATTATTTCTACATAAGCATTCGAACTGAAATGTGAATGATTACCACTCATCACCAGCTGTATTGATTCTATTGGGTCTCGAGCCTCTCCCCAGTCGCTTTTTAAATTTAAAAAATGTAAGATTTTTTTTCCTGTTACTTCTCTTGGTAAATGGTTAGTACTGACAAGAACGCACTATTGAAATTTTTACATTTCTTGGTTGAGAAAAGTAGTCTCTGTATTAATGACTGAAATAAAATGTAGTGGACAATAACTGGTTACCATCTGATTCATCTGATTTGGTTGGCTGGCTCTTTTACCTCTGCCGTTGCCTTACAAAAATTTAAGGAATTTTTAGCATTTCTTCGTGCATGCCGTTCGATATAAATGGTTACCACATCCAGCTAGCAAACTAAAAATTCCATGGTTCGAATTCCGACAACGTCGCACTTTGTTTTTCACGTTTATAATCCGAAAAACGAGTGTCTGTTCCATAATTAAATTATTATTTTATATTTTTTTCTTGGATAGTAGATTTCGATGTTTCGCATAAAATAAAGAGTATGCCAGCTGATGAAATGTTCCAGAGTTATGCCGCAGTAGAAAACTGTACACTCAGCGCACACACACACAAAAAAAAAGGGGGACAGTTCTATACCTCTTGTTCTACCGGGCCAACGAACGAAATTTAACTTGCGTTTTTCATGTTTCGAAAGGGCGACTTAAGATGTACATTATATTTTTATGTAGTATTGCTCTAACATATGTATTTCGTCACAAAATTACACTTTTTCTGAAATAACATTGTGCACGATGGT